TTGGTGTGGTATCGTATGTACTAGTAGGGGGTCTGGGGGTATTCTCCCCCAGAAATTTTTTTGTATTTTTCCACCCCTAGAACTGAAATGTGAGCATTACCGAATCTGATCAGTTAAGTGTACTTGCATGGTATGTCGGCAGGTACAAAACGCAGGTTGCAAGTTGCAGGTTGGAATTTCGCAGGTTGGGAATTTTGCAGGTTGGAATTTTGCAGGTTAGGAATTTTGCAGGTTGGAAATTTGCAGGTTGCCAGGAACTTTGCAGGTTGATGATGCAAACTTAAAATTACACCACTATAAAGTATTCTAGTATAATTTAATTGTATACTTATTGCAGTCCGAGTCCTGCTGCCATATGTTCCTAGCCTCTGCTCCAAGGAGTGCCATCACCCCCGTGAAAATACTCAAAATGACTAGATTGGCTTGGACCTACGGCTACAGGGGGACGAATGTCTCGATTGTTGCGAGGAGCCTACATGACGTGGCAGCACTAGTCGAGAATGATAGTTAACTTTTAACAACATTCTACGTCATGTAAGCGCCTCGCAACGATCAAGACATTCGTCTCCCTGAAGGTCCAAGCCAATCTGGTTATTTTGAATGTTTTCACGGGGTGATGGCCACAAGCCTTAAGCCCAGGTCAAACTACACAACGATAACGATACGATAACTTGTATTCGCGCGCTGATTGGTCAAAAATTTATCGTTATCGTCCGACTGAAAAAAAAATCGCTCAGGTGAGCGATTTTAAAATCGTTATCGTTATCGTCTAACGATAATTTTACCATTTTCGTTGTTGTGTGTACACTAATACAATTTTTTTGACAATTATCGCGTGTTTACAATTTATCGTATCGTTATCGTTGTGTAGTGTAACCGGACCTTTAGAGCAGAGGCTAGGAACATGGCAGCAGGATAGGCTGATATCTAAAGTGCAGACAAGGAGTCGAACTGCAATAAGTATACATAATACAATTAAATTATACTAGAATACTGGTGTAATTTTAAGTTTGCATCATCAACCTGCAAAGTTCCTGGCAACCTGCAAATTTCCAACCTGCAAAATTCCCAACCTGCAAAATTCTCAACCTGCGAAATTCCAACCTGCAATCTGCAACCTGCGTTTTGTACCTGCCGATGGTATGTTTATGTAAGTACCACGAATGGGTCACTCAGGGGGTAGATAGCTTGTTAAAATTAGTGGGCCCGACTCCCACGATCGCGAGGCGCAACCATGGTTGGCGCCGAGCAAGGAAATTTTGAAAATTTCGAGTCTCTAGATCGTTGGAAATAATATTTTCAGAGTCTTCTTTTTTGCTATTTGTGATTATAAAAATCAGAACTCTAGACATGGTATTTAAGTTCGAAAACTTTTATGACCCCCCCCCCCCCTCC